CAAAACCAAATTTCAAAATTTGTCAGTCCAACCCCTAGCACCAATTCTATACCATAACCATTTTACTTTATGTTAATTAAAAGGGTTATAGGTATAATATGCTCATCTACTATGACGTTTTATCAAACATGCCCCTCTACTATTTTTTACATCAAACATGCTCCTGTAATTTGGAAAAACTATCAAACATGCCCTTCAGTTGAAATTTCCATTGAAAAAATCGTCACTCATGGTTGAACCAAAATTTAGACGACCTGACATCGATAAATGGGAGGGGAAATGTCAGTTTTGACCCTTGTTTTATTTCTCTAGGTCTCGTCAAAGTGAAATTATTAGAATTATTTGGCTATACAAAAGAACAAAAAAAAAACTCTAAAGTGAAATTATTAGGGATATTTTAGATATTTGGGTCGCCCAAACCAAAGTTCGGTCTTGGTTAACAGTTTTGGGATGAAAATTTTAACAAAAGAGCATGTTTGATGAGTTTTCCAAATTACAGGGGCATGTTTGATATAAAAAATAGTAGAGGGGCATGTTTGATAAAACGTTATAGTAGAGGGGCATATTATACCTATAACCCAAAAAATTAATATTTTATTAAATATTTGCTAACTAGGAAGTTTAGTTCGAAGTCACATAAGCAATAGATACTTTTTTTTTAATGAAAATAGACAACCATTTGCTACACTTTAACATCTACAAATATATTATAGCCGATTTGGAGGCAGTTTTAAACATTTCAAATTTCATGCAACGAGAGCGAAAGTAGGAAGGGTAATTGTGTCTTCACAATTATTATTTATTTATTATACAGAGAAAAATACATCAATATCAAGATTTGAACCATGGTCTTTCCTAACTAAGACAACAACCATTACCAATTACACTAAAGAAATCTTTTGTATCTTTTTAAGTAAAAAATCTGAAAACCTTAAATCTAAAAATCATACGACTTTTCCACTACTGTTAACTAGCCCACTATCTGTGAACCGGAGAATATTCTTGCCAGAATGTATAAGGCAAGATACCATTTCACCGATCCTTTCCTTCATGCCCGTCAGGGGCCCCGCTCTTCTTGGGCTTGGCAAGGTACCTTGCAGGGCAGAGATTTAGTGATTAAAGGTCTTCGTTGGCAAATAGTATCAGGATCTAGGATTAACACCTTACTCGACCCTTGGCTACCGTCAGACCCTCCTTCTAGCCCTAAGTTGCTAATTGGCTATTCACTAGATCACCCAATGGTCTCATTTCTGCTGGACTCTAATGCTATGGAGTGGAATCTAGACTTGCTTAAAACCTTATTTCCCCCTGCCACGATCGATAAAATCTTATCCATCCCACTCCCATCTTCCCCCCAAGAAGATAAATTGATTTGGCACTATGACAAGTCTGGCCATTATACAGTTAAATCGGGGTACCACCTCTTTTCAGATGGCTTAACTTCACCCAGGAACTCCCTGCAAGAATTTTTGAACACCAAGTTTTGGAAATTCATGTGGAATCTTCCAATACCTCCTAAACTAAAATTCTTTCTTTGGAGATTGGTGCGTGGATTCTTACCAGTTAAAGGAATCCTCCTTTATAAGAAAATTATTTCATCAAGTTTATGTCCCGTTTGCTGCGAGGTAAATGAAGACTTCAAGCACTGCTTCTTCGACTATAGAATCACTAGAGAACTGTGGACATTATCTGACCTTGACCATATAAGAGATATGATGAGGGCAAGTCCTATGGATCTTGCGTGGAGAAACCTTTTTTTAACGCCCCATATCTCCAAGAATGATGTAGCTTTCATTGTCTTCTTATTTTGGAGAATATGGAAAGGTCGATGCAAGGCTACTTATGGACACGTTTTATACAGGTCACATGTTCTATACAGGAAATTATTAGCGCAGGTGGAGGAATGGAGAATGGCAGAGGGACAAAAGGTTCAGAGATCCGAAGAAGTCTGAAAGTCAATGCCCCACTCTTCCACAGGCCAAGGTCCTCATTCAAGGAGAACAGATGTTTCCCTCCCTAGTTAAGGTATCCTAGTTCGTTTTGACGGGGCAACAAAAATCCATCAAGGAACTAGCTTCGTCGGCTTTTCAGGTGATGGAAATATCATATTTGCAGTTGGTAAATTCTATCAGGGTATCTCAGATGCCTATATATCAGAATTACTTGCTATTCGTGATGCTATGAAATGGTGTCTCACCCACAACTTCTTGACTGTTATTTTTTGTGGGGACTCTCAATTGGTCATCAAGGATGTGTCATCAAAGAAGGCTTCGCATTCAAGAGCGGGAGCTATACTAGAGGAAGTCCACTCTCTCCTTTCCTCCTTCCTATCTGTCTTGTGTCTTTCTGCTCCTCGGAGCTTCAACAGAGCTGCCCACCTCGTGGCAAAACATGCTCTTTTATCGGGAGTCCGGTTGCATACGGACTACCGTTCTTTTTTAGTGTCTTTCTTGTAATTGTGTTGTCCGGTCATGCCCTGGGGGCTTATCTTGGAAAAAAAAAACTAGCCCGCTAACTTTCCCGTAAGTACTTTCTTTGTTATTTGATATTTGAATTTTAATATTTTGATTATTTTAATTTTAGTTTGATAATAAATTTAATTATAATTTTAAAATTAAAATCCAAATATCATTGATTCGAATATTACATATTGAATTGCAGTATTGAATGTGTAGATGTGATGTAGAATTCTTAACTTGGTATTATTTTTTGTAACTATTAAAACAACGATATTGTTATGCAAACTGTAAGTGACTAGCTGTTTGAAAATTTTAATTTGGTTTACTGTTAAATTCTCACTCTCTTGATAATATGGCATGATTGGACAAATAGGTGAGTTTAAAAGAACATAATTTATGAATACCAATTTTTCTAGATGATTTTAATTATTTAAATCTTTTATCTTATAGGATAATTGACTATATGTATCATTTATAATTACTTAGTTTAATATGAAATAACCGCAGTACAAGATAAATCATGAAAGTCGAGCTGGAGTTTTCATGGACGCATTGATGTGGTCATGTGGAGTAGCAAGGTAGGTACCACAAGATAGGTTTAATATTTTTTGCTAAGCGAATAAGATTGTACTTCAACTAAATTTAGAGTATGTTGGTTGATAAATAATTTTTTCATTGCATAGAGTATGAGTGGAAAATGTTATTTTCTTACTATTTTGTTATTGTATGTGCAGAATACTAGGTTTAGATACTGCTATATATGTATTATTTCTCAAGCATAAGAAACAAATATTGAATAAAGGTTATGATCACAAGTTTTCTATTTATGCTACACTTTTTCAGACACTCTTTTTTTGTTATGCCAATTTTCTTTTCAGAGTGACTACATCATTAAATTGACAAGTTATGAATGGTTATTTACGAGAGTTATAACTAAAGTTGTTACACCTCTATCGGGCGGCTAGTTGGACTAGGTTTGACCAAAGCCGTGTTTCAAAACCGGCTCTACAAAATCAAGTGTCCGATCGTTAGAGAGGGAGAAGAAGAGAGAGGGAAGGGGGAGGGGGAGAGAGGCAAGAGCAAGAGGATTGTTGGTGGATCTTGAAATAAGTATGTTTTCTTATGCAATTTGAGTTTTTAATAGATATAAGTTATTACATTTCGTATTAGTCACTAAATTTCTATATTATATGTAAATATATTTAGAAAATGTGTAAAATGACTCAAACAGATTGGATCTCAATCAAGCCATTAAACTTCAAACTACTTGCTTGACTGGCTCAACAACTTAAATCGGTTTGACAACTTTGGTTATAACAATTAAGCTTACAATGTTAATCATTGATGAAAAATTATAAGAATTTCGAAAATGGAAAAGTAATTCCGATGTCACCTTAATATCATACGAAATTCAGCATTTAAAATAATTTAAAAAATTTAAATACACATCATATATACATTGTATTCAATAACGTTTCGACCAACGGGTCGAACAACAAGCTAGTATGCATTATTACAAATTAAAGGTTTGGTACCATTTTGTACAAAGTGATTTTGTGACATTTTATTATGTTAATTACACGCTAAAAGCGATTTACCATTAGGTCTAATCTTCTTTTTACTTTGTTTTCCCAACCTTGTCAAACCCTAGCTATCATTATCAATGGATTACTCAGAACTACCGAAGGAGATCGTAGAGAAGATTGCCTCCCAGCACTTGGACACAGCCTCCCAGCTCATCTCCTTCTCCGGCGTCTGCAAATCATGGAGATCCGCCGCCATCCTCCTCCGCTGCCCTCCGGTATTGCTCGTCCCCGAAACCGCCGCCGCCGCCGCACCGCTATCTCATGCCGCTGCGTCGAGAGGCCAAATCCATGATTTCGTCTCCCTCCCTACACTCATCCCAACCACCAGCCCGCCGCCGCCGCCGTCAATCGCACTCCCCCTCTTCCCGTCTCCCTCCAAAATGTCGGACGCCCACGGCCAGCGCGATCGCTACCTCCGCCTCCACCAAGAATTCATCACCTCCTTCCCCGTCATAGGAGACGACAGCGAATTCTCTCCCTACGACGCGAAATCAGACGCTCACACCTTAGCCTCCAAAGACGGCTGGATCCTCCGCACCCTCCCTTTCCACGGCGACTACCGCGGCCGCCAGCTCGATCTCTACCTCCTCAACCCATTCACCGGCGCCTCCATCCCTCTGCCCCCTTTAAAGCGGGAATACGCCGACGTCAGCAAAGCCATAATCTCCAATTCCCCTGACCACGAACACTGCTACGTGTTCACATTTTCCAATTGGCATAACAACTTGCTCGCCTGGTGCAAGGTCGGGCCAGGAGGCGGAGGCGGCGGCGGCTGGACGTTCCCACCAAGAATTGCCTCGTTCGTATACAATACGATGTCCCCGAAGACGCCTCCTACTCCAACGGAAACCTCTACCTTGCAGGGGAAAATGCCCTCTGGGTTGTCCACGACATCCTCAAACCCTTCTCCGCCGCGATTGGGCCAATTGTGAAGGCGTTCCCGTTCTCCAGCTACATGAAATCGTTCGACGCCTGCTGTGCGCCGAGGTCGAAAACTCACCCCTACTTGTGTCACCTCGACGGCGGCCAGGTTCGTGTGATTCTCCCTGATTGCAAGGGGAATTACTACGGGGACTACCTGGGATTCCGTGTGTTCAAGCTCGTCGATGAGGGGAACGGGCTCGATAGAGTTATGAACTTTCATGGCCATAATGTTGACAGGGGTGAGTATTGGGAACAAGTGTGGAGTCTGGATGGGCATGCCCTGTTCATTGGGGCTCACCAATCGTTTTCCTTTCCGACTATCAAGGGCGGTGGTGGTGTTGTGAATCGGAATGGCAGTGGGATTAGAGGCGACCACATCTACTTCGCGCTGAATCGTGTTTGTTCGGATATGAAAACATTCGGAGAGGCGAATTGGGATGGTGTGTTTGATGTTGCCAACCACAAGTTCCAGAGGTTTGCTGATGAACGTTACAGTGATAACGGGACGCGGCATCCCATCTTTTGGTTCATCCCTGTGCCCTGGTAAATTGAATTTCAATTTCCGCTCATAAAACAACAACCCTACCGAAATGTGTGGTATCTTACGAGAATGATGATTGGTTTTATTACAATTGCAGGGGATACAGTAAAAGTGTAAGTAAACATCAGAAGAGAAAGAAGAGGAAAGGGAAAAAGCAAAGGGAAGAAACAGGGGACAGCATCACGAGTACCTGAAGACAATTTGTATAATCTTGTGTAAATTCAAATGAACTCTAAACTTTTGATTGAATCATTTTTTGAGAACATTTCCTAAGAGATGCATGTTGTTGGGAGTTTTCCAATGGTATAAGTGCCTCATCCTTGATTGAGCTAAATGCTATTAAGTAGTTCTTAAGGCTTACTTTTATTGTTGGATCTTCATCGTAATCACCTTTTCTCTTATACTCAAACCCTTCTTAGTGCGACGAGTTAGATTATTCTGCTATTTAGAAGAGGATGCACCTCTAATTTCAACGAATCAACAACTAGTTTTGGATGATTATTCGTAATGGATAAATACATATTCAAGTTGATAGCGACGAATCTTTGAATGCCAAAACAATCAAAAGTACACAACTTGATTTCGTACCATGTTCATATCCTACATGCCATTTCCTCATATGAAACGAAGTAGAGTTACGAAACGTGAATATACCAAAACAACATGGCCAATCCTCGAGATCGCACATGTATGTGCATTGTGCTATTTGAGGTGGAAATGGAAATGGAGCAGAATTTGAGGGATCAATTCATAAAAAAAACCAGATGTGAGTAGGGATAGGTTAAACTGGATAAGATTCCAAAGGTTGTCCATCCAGCCAATCAAATTCCTCCAACTATCACACCCCCATCCTTCTCCAAACCACAAGTTTTCATCCAACAGATTCTCTTCCCTGAGATATACTCACACAAATAAACGAGAACCGCAAATCTTTGCCAGTGGCCTCTTCCATCTCTCTCTCTTTTGTAAATTACTGGGAAAAGAAAGAGAGCAAACGCTAGCTTGCTAACTATGGCTGCCACAACATCTCCAATGGCTAGCCAGCTCAGATCCAGCTTCACTTCTTCCGCGAGGAGAGGTCTGACCGTCCCCAATGGCATTTCCGGCGCTTCCTTCAGAGTTTCGCCCACCTCCCGGCGATCTTCTTCCTTCACTGTCAAGGCCATTCAGGCCGACAAGGTAATTGATACTTCAAATTAAGGTCGCGATGTGAATACGCCTTATGAATTGGCTTTCAAATGGGTCCTCTGTCTTTGCAGCCGACGTACCAAGTGGTGCAGCCGATCAACGGCGACCCGTTCATCGGCAGCCTGGAGACTCCGGTCACGTCCAGCCCACTGATCGCCTGGTACCTCTCCAACCTCCCCGCGTACCGGACCGCGGTGAGCCCACTCCTGAGGGGGATCGAAGTGGGCCTGGCCCATGGGTTTCTCCTCGTGGGCCCGTTCGTGAAGGCCGGGCCGCTCAGGAACACGGAGTACGCCGGGGCAGCGGGTTCCTTGGCCGCCGCCGGGCTGGTGGTGATCCTCAGCCTCTGCCTGACCATGTACGGAGTCGCCTCCTTCAACGAAGGGGAGCCGTCGACCGCCCCGAGCCTGACGCTGACCGGGAGGAAGAAGCAGCCTGACCAGCTGCAGACCGCCGACGGGTGGGCGAAGTTCACCGGAGGGTTCTTCTTCGGTGGGGTTTCAGGGGTGACCTGGGCCTATTTCCTTCTCTATGTTCTTAACCTTCCTTACTACGTCAAGTAGAGTGGTGGGAGGATGGGGTGAATTTCAAACAGCCAGAAGATGAAATGTGTAATTCCGATTTGCCACCATTTTACATTGCTCTGTAATTGTGTATCTATGAATGCTGAAACAGACTTGTGAACATAGCTTCCTAGACATTTCTGCTGTCTGAACATTTCTATCCTTCCTTGGGGGCGAACTGGAATCATTCTGATGTTTTGTTTCTGAAGAGCTGGAATCAGTCTGATGGTTGACTGGAATCAGTCTAATGGGTTGGATTTTCTTTGTGTGCTGGGTATTTTTTTGGGGTTCTGTTATCTGCAGAATATGCATCTTCGTTGGAGTACTTAATAGATGAAATCGCGCAGTAAGATCTGACTTGCTGTACAGGGATATTCTGCTCCTGTTGCTGGGAAATATGCAAGAAGTCACCAAGATAAGCTTAGTAGCTTGATACTTCTCAATTCTCCTGTATGTATCTGAACTTCTCTGGCTTCTCAAGGTCTGTCATTTTTGCTTCTAATTATGGATGCTGAATAACTAAAACTACTTGTGCATGATTCTTACGGCTTACCCCAAGCTAATGCAAGGCTTCAATCAACATTGTCCATATTCTGCAACTTCTCGCTGGGTGAAAATTTATCTCAGGTAATCAGGATAGCTCTACTCAAAACACTTCCCTATTACTGAAAATACCTCTCAGGCGAGGATAGCCAGTAATTTACTTTATCCATATATTATGTAGCTCTTACAAGCACATGGTTGTGTACAGATTAAGATACGAATTGGGATACAAGTAAATAATAATACAATGAGAGAGAGATGGTGAGATCGTTGCAAAAAGGTGTCCAAGGTTTCCCCTGCCACTGTAGATCTTTCAGTGGTGTTTGACTGCTAATCCTTTCCAAGCTTCACTAAAAGACCATGGAAATAGCTGCACACTGCATCTGGCCCTTATCGATCTGCTTGGTTCATTGTGGATAGGGATCAACCCAACACGAATCTTTCTTCACAGCATTCTTCCATCTGTTCTTGAACAACTCCAGCTCAACGTATGACCGATTTTTCACCTAGAAGAAACCACATTTGCAAGAATTAATTAATCAACCTAGCTAGAATTCTCACTCGTATTAGAAAGAAAAGAAATGGTTTTGAAATTGCCAGTAGGAACAGATGCAAAAGCTTACTGCTGATCTGCCTGATGCTTGGTTGGCACTCAATGGCAGCAACACCTGAGTAATCACAGCCAAAAAGATTGAGATATCAGAAAGCCGTTAGTATGTATCTTGTCGGAAAGACACGCAATGAATACGTTTTCTTCCGAACCTTGTCCGAGGCAGAACCACCTAGAGTAGGAAGACCCTCGTGCACAATGTACTCCGAATCAACAACACCAATGTTTTTGGTCCGGTCACCCTGTGCACAGTAACCGAGCTGAAAATCGACCCCCCATCCGTGTACCAAGTCATTCTGACCAAGAGAAAGACAATGAAGTTTGAAACTTGTCACACAAGTAGCCAAAATGTTCTGGGGATAGTGCTTAGTTACCTGAAACATATGCCATGCACATCGCCATGACGCCTTCGAGAAAACAGGAGCCATCATTTCTATAAACCTTGAATGAAACAACCATTTTTCTCTTCAGTCAGATATATCTTAAGAAAGCAAGACTTTAGATTCGACAAGACACAGTTTGTTTCTAGTTCTACCCTGTGCATGGAGGAGCTGTGCTGTTGTCAGTGCACTGTCTGGGTCCTATCTTCTTGTACGTCCTTCTGTCAAGACACCATAGCCATAAGGATCAGGATTTCACCATAAACAAGAAAGAGCAGAGTTTGAAATCTCAGCTACATTTTGTAAAATCTCTTCAAGATTTTGAAAGGGAAACCTGTGAAATCTTCCTGCCGGGTTTCGCTCAGTTATTTCATGATGCACCTCTGACTTCTCGGGATCCAGTGCTGGCTGCGAGACCTCAAGTCCTTCCGCTTTTACAATTGACAGATATCTGAAGTTCAAACCATTGCAGTGAAAAGAGACATTTATGGGAAGAATATAAAAACAGAAGGTAAGAATGAGATGGATACCTTCCAGGATGGAAATTGTCAACTCCAAGATCTTCATCCCACAAGAAGATGTATTCATACTCCGAAATGATATCAGGATGCAAGAAACGTTTAGCAAACCACCTGTGAGTCATTGTTTAACAAACATAAATTCAAGCAGAAATACTTTTTAACTCTTCCGATCCATACAAAGCTACAGGACTTGCTGTAACGAAAAATTACTAAACCATTTCGTTTGGTTGTTAGCAGAAACATGTATGGCTTGGTTGCTCCAGTCCAATCCTTTCCATTCATCCACATTTCCGTCGTAATGGAACAGCATCACGACGAAGTCAGCAGGTGGAAACTGCAACATGATAAGAAGAATCAAAACAAAGATTCTACTAGTACTTCCTAGAGCATCACATAAAGAAAACACTTCCCATTCACTTTCACCTTTCGGACAATCTTATCGACATTCAGTTTTTGCTTTATCCCAACTGCCATTGCTAGTAAGCTCTTGGATCTCTTTGCCTTCTTGTCATCGTCACCCCATAGCGATCTCATTTGAAAGTCAGAAGTTGCAGAAATGATCCCTTTAGGTAATGTATTGGTTCCATATGGCTTCTCTCCATTCTACATCACACATTATACAAACTTAAAGAGGCTACTGAAATTTGAAGCCTGCACTTAGCAACAGTAATGGTGTATATAAACAAACCTCACAAACCGCGGATCTTTGGACATCAATAGGCTGCCCCCAACTTCCTACTAGCTTCTGCAGAAGCAAAACACTCCATTGATTTATATAGAACAAGTGTTACACTGATGAATGAATCAAAAGTACGAGCTCTATAGTTGTGATTGGGGGTTTCCAGAAGATTACCATTACTGATAGCAGAGTCTGGTGTTGTAGTACCTGTTTATAATCTGTGACTATGAATCCACTTCCGATGAAGAATGCAACAGATAGCAAAAGTACTAAAGGGAACCCACGGCGAAGGCATGAATTGTGCTTCTGTGGTTCAAATTTAGAAGATTTCTGCAGGGGGGAAACAGGGGAATTGATGAGAACAGCGGGGAAAAGAACAGATCTTTGGCCAAAATTCGAAAGAACCAATACACAGACAGAGAAAGAATTGGAAACCCAGAAGAAGGCAACTCTGTCTTGGTGAGGAAAGTTCATACCTTTTTCACCATGATTGCCAAACTCGTTGAACAGAGCAGTCGAAATCAATAGCCCAAAACAGCCCAAGAACGACAGAGAGAAAGATGATCAGTTTTGGAAGAATTGGTAGACACAAGAGGAATGAGCTTAAGCAGACCTTTCTTTGCATGTGAGCGTTTGAAAAGGGGAGGTGGGGAAGGGAAGCAGTTAGCTTGGAATGGACAGAAAGTGGAGGATGAACCGAAACGTAAGGCAAGGGCGGGGAAGCAGCTGGTGCATGCGGACGGTCAAATTCCATTGGAGGGGGAAAGGCAGAAGCAGAGGAAAGTGCGGCTGTGTAAGCACTAAGCAACTGATTCTGTTCTTTATTCTAAGTTTAGTCAACTATTATCAGTTTATCACTTTGTTTCCGTCAATTGTACAAAAGAGAAAGTTTACTTTATTCACCCATTAATGCGCCTAGATGATCCGGTTAGAAGTTTGTCTTTAACTATATAGGAGATTTTGACTAAGGTTTAGTTTTGAGTTGTGGACATAGGGATAAGTAACCGTTTGGTATGTAGGCAGATTATTATTAAGGTAAACACAAAAAATATTAAATGTAGTCGAAAAAATAACCAAAACTATTTGAAATATCATAAAATAGCCAATTTTTTAATATGTTGGACAAATACATGCTTTTGTTAGTTTCATCGCCAAATATAATATTGTGATGTGGAATAGATATAATGGTTTTTTTTTTTTTTACCTTGAATCATCAATTATTTATCACAATTTCAAACGTTTGCCAATTTTTGGGTATAACCATTCTTTTATGAAAAGCAAGATTTCATTGCATTAAAGTTCTAACCAAAGAGCAAAACCAAACCAGAAGTACAAAACACAACTAACACTTATGCTAACTACAAGGGTGAAGCCATAGAGGCCATACATAGATCTTTAAACTATAAGGGGAACTAATCCTGGAACCAGAGTTTCTTCATTCTAATAGTCATTCAACTCGGTGATGGCAATTTGAACCCGCCTCGCGGGTATTATCCGACTTGACCCGTAATTGGGTGGATATTACTCGACTCGTAGTAGTGTGGGGCGGGACATGACGTTTTTCGCCTATTTTATCTCAATTTTTTACGGTATATATACATATTTATCTTATTTTGACTTTTCTTCCACTTGTTAGAGGCGATTTTAACTTGTTAGACTCAAATACCCATTTTATTATTATTATTTTTCATTTATAAAGTATTTTCTCCTTTGTTTTATCTAAAAAAAGTTAACTTTGCATATTTTTTTTAAATAACATGTAAAATTGGGTTGACCCGCCCCACTCAATACCGGAGCGATTTTTACTCGCTCCGACCTATGAGACGGGACATGAGTGTAAGATATCCGCCGTTGCCATTACTAATTCAACTTAGCATCATCCGTACATGCCCCCAAACCAGCCACAGAGAGAGCTTTGTTTCCATACAATCTCCTACAGCGTTCCCTCCTAATCTCGCTAGCAACCATATTCGTCGAGACCCATCTGGCAGGGTAGGATACGGTGACTACCCTCAAAAGAGTTTGATTTTTTGACACCCTCCTTTATTATTGGTCCATTTTTCCTTAATCATTTGGTAAGTATTAATGAAAGTTGTAGAATTTAACACTCACATTAAATACACTACATTGGGAATTAAATACCACATATTAATTACTTGTTTTTTTTAATTTAAAACCTATACTAAACACAATTCTCTCTAAAAAAAGCAAATAATCCCTCTTCTCTCCTCCCTCTCATCATATGCTTCCGCCGTTATGATTTTTCGATTTCTAATTTTTCAGATGACTTTTCAATTTTTCAGTTATAATTTTGTACCACTGCACTTAAACTCATATATGATATTTTGTACCAGTGCACTGGTAGCGTTACCAATGCACTGGTAGAGATACCACTACACTGGTAACGATATCAGTGCACTGGTACAAATATCAAATCTCAATTTAAATGTAGTGGTAGAAATATCAGTGTAGTGGTACAACGTATCAATGCACTGGTACATTTTTTTAATGTAACAGTACATTTTTGCGGGTGGCCGGAGGAAGTCTGACGGCAGGATTTCACCAGAGAAGTGTGGTGGTCGGAGGCTGCTGGAAAAAGGAAGAATGCGAGATAGGGAGATAGAATTGTATTTAATGTAGGTTTAAATTAAAAAAGACAAGTAATTAATATGGTGCATTTAATTCCCTATGTGTATTTAATATGAGTGTTAAAATATATACATTTAATACCAAGGGTGTCATTTGAAAATGTTCAAAACCTGCTGCATAAAATTACATTTAAAATATAAATGACCACGAGACTCAAGGAGGGATAAGCAGAGAGGACACATGAACATCAGACCTTCTTCACTGAATACTTATGCATAACCTCGCCTTGCCACATCAGCCCTCTCCATATGACAAGCAACATGAACCCTGGCAGTAAACACTTTATTCCAGGTTCAAGAACCAGGTATATATATTTTATTCCTCAGCCTATATTATATTCCTTCATCCAGACATTCTGAGGGGGAAAAACGATCAGCAGCCCTTGACCATATATGTATATTTTTTTCCAGTTGATTCGATTCACATCAAATACAAAAGTGTACGTGCATGAACGATTTATCACAAATTAAATCAAATCGAATTTTGAAGTGAATGCAAGGAATTTGGAAAAGAAAGACAAAATTAAAAGCCTGATCCATATCATCGCCATAATCATCTTTCATCTTGATCCTCGTCATCGTCATCGTCATCGTCATCCTCCTCCTCGTCGTCATCGATCAATAAAGCTTGAAATTTGTTGGCTAGTCGTCCAGTTCCAGTACTAACCTTGTTATTAGTACCTTCACGTTGCTGACCGTGATTTCTGTAATTGGTCTTTGACTTTGCTATGCCAACGCCCGGCCCCGTCTGCCTTTGCCGAAACATCCTTTCTTGACCTTCTTTATGCTCGTGAATATTCCTACATCCCAAGTCAACGAGAAATGAGTAAGGAAACAAAACCAGCAATTAAAATTAATCAGAACATATAATACGTAAATTACATGATTACCAGGGCATGGGGAGGAACCAGAAAGTACGCCGGGCGCTCACATTATTATCACCATCCGAATCAGCAAACCTTTCAACCGTCCGATCCTCGAGATTGAAAACGCCACAATCATCATCGAAAACATACTCTCCTCCTCCAAAGACGAAGTAGATGCAGTTGCCCTTAACTCCGTTATTGAGTAGCGGGTCAGCGGGAAGACAAAACGACTGGTGGGATCCCACAAACACAGCGTACCCATCCAACTCCGTCACTTTTGCCCAGTAATTATTGCTGTTATTCTTCTTCTCGCCTCCTCCCAATACAAGCTTGTACACCTCGAATTCGTGCTTCGATTCCGGTTTATCAAACCAGTATTCATCCGCGCGATGGTGCAGGATGACGTGATGGTGCAGGATGACGAGGAGTTCGTCTCGGAGGTTGGCCAGGTGGTAAGAGCAGTAGTCCTCGTCGTAACTACGTACACTAGGACGAGAAAAAATGCTCTTCGCGACCGAAAAAATCGGGAACACTCTCACGGTCGGGGTGGCACACGTAAGCAATCCATCCACCACGTACACATGCTCGCGATCCGCCACGTGGAGCTTCCCTCCCAAATAGGCCATGCCGACGTCCTTGGAGAGGTCGAAATTGAGCTCATCGTCGTGACGGGATGTGAATTTCCAGCGGCCGCCCTTGGCCACGTTGCACCACGCCAATTGGGGCGTGGAGTCGAGGAGAAGGAAGACGTGGCAGTCGTCGTCGTCGCGGTCAGGGGAGGACGAGATGATGGCTTTGCGGATGTTGTGACGGCGGGCTGTGAGAGGGAGAGGAGGGAGGTGGAGGGAGGATTGGGTGAGTGGGTTAAGGAGGTAAATTACAATCGGAAAGGTGGGGGCGGGGACGATGAGGAGCCACCCGTCTTTGGACGCCACGTAGTGTTCTTTCTGGATGGAGGCCGCGTCGGAGCGGCTGATGTGTAACGATCTAGATGTCAAGAAGTGAGGGAGCGTGACTTTGGGGAGTGTTCTTTTGCTTTGTTGTTGATCATTACGATGGTTTAGAACTGTGAGTGGAAGGAACTCATGTGGGCGTGGCGCCCTCGAGTGGCAAGATGAGGCGGCGGCGGGTGGTTTTGTGGTTGGGAAGAGGAGGCCGGGAAGGCATAATAGGGCGTCAGGGCGGCTGAGAGCGGCGGATCTCCATGATTTACAGATGTGGGAGAAGGCGAGGAGCTGGGAAAAGGTGTGCAAGTGGTGACTTGCTATCTTCACTACTATGTCGTCCGGTAGTTGGGTGTAATCCATGGATGGCGCCCGGTGCTGGAGCTAGGGTTTCTCTGCCGCACGACAACTAAAATAATTAATTGCAGCTAGGGTTAGCTATACAAAAAATATTGATTTTCCCAATCGAATGGAGAGAGTGGTTGCAGCTGGCTAAATAACTCCTTCTAGCTAGGGTTCACGAATACAAGTTGATAATCATAAATCAAGGAACATACGTATATAGGGATCAGAGACTAGCTAATCAACGGAAGACACTACTCTTTGATGCATGGAAGAACCCTAGCTAGGTAATTAATCAATTAGTGAAAGGAAAGATATCCGAAGATATTATATATTATTGTCAAAATTCAAATCGACGACTATAAATGTCAAAATGGATCGACAAAAATTTAGAGAGAAGACTTACTAGTTGCTCCTTCGATCTGGGGAAGATCCAGCAGCTAGCTCGCTCGCCAGGAGAAAGGGAAGTGATGAATTGGAATTTGCTAAACAAATGATCACCACAACCGAATTCGCATCAGGTTTTAGCAGTAGTCAAAATAAAGAGGAGGGCGTAGGGTAAAATATTGGGGAAATATTTTCACATATTAACATAAAAATCATGTAAAAAACCCTAATCATCTATAACCTAACTCCATGATCTCTCCGATGGCCCTCTCTGCTGCTTCCTCTCCCTATTTATTCGAAAAATATATTTTTATCCTATAATGATATGGAAAAGTTTACTTGTCATGTTAGGTGGTTGGAACACCTAATGGAAACTATTAATATATTGTATGTAAGAGATGATAAAATGAGATGAGAAAATGAATGGTGAGTTATTGACTTTAAAAGATAAATTGAAAAATGCACTTTTAGAAACACCCAAAACAATATTAATTCAATAAATATAAACACAAATTCAGAAATCTATTTTATAGGCACAAAATTAATAAAATGGCTACTGAAAAGATTTTAATAAAACTAGAAAATTGGGGAAAATAATGAACGAATATCAAGAAAAAATAATAAATATACTAGAAAACAATGATAAACAACTAAGATCAATACTAGAATATCAATGTAATGAAAAAAAAAAGATATATATTCAGATTTAGAACTAGCTAATGATATAATTACTAAGATTATAGTGGATATAATACAGCGAGAAGTGGCAATAGGAAAATCAACTTCAAATTCTAAGGAAATAGTATTACCGGAAGAGGATCTTAAAGAAATCATTATCAAACTTCAAGAAATAATAATTAAATTAGACAATAAAAGGTGCATTACAATTGAAGATATGGAAAAACATCTGAATAAACATAAATCATGTAAATCAATTCCATTAACTATCACAGCACCCTACAAACTTCTATGACTAATATTGACGAATAAATCAATAAATTAAATGATTTACTAGCCGCAATTACTATCTAATCAGAACCAGAGACAGAAGAAAATATCGAAATGATAAAATAGTCCTTGACTATAGTAGCGACGAAAACCCCTATAAAAATTATACAAATACAAATTATACAAAAACTGAAACTGAGGATCAACCTGAAACATCACGAAAATGTGATTTCAATAACTATAAAGATGGTCAACTATTTTTTGATGAATACTTATATAAAAATTTGTATACACCTCGCAAAGGGGGAGGATGCAGTAAAATACCTCAATATTACATACCAAAATATTCCACCACTAGTTTTAACAGTCCTGATATTTTAGACCTTGACTGTTGCATCAATCCATTAAAAGAATTAGAACACTAGAAAAATCGATCAAGATTATTAATACAAACTAACGAAGATCTAAAGAAATTACAACCTAGCGAAATGTTTAATTTCTTAATATATAAAACAACTGGAGCAGTTTATCATTATCTCAACAACATGGATATTCCAGCTAAGACACTATTATATGGAACAACAGATGCTACAAATATTTTTCAAAAAGTTTTAAATTCAATAACTTATGTATTCTTATGACGACATCCTCGAGAAAATAAACCAAACACAACCATAAGTCAACAAGCTATTTGGCATTTAACTAATCTTAGAATCTGCAACATGTGCTTCTTGGAACCATTTATTTGTGAATTCAGAACACACTATTATCAAGTTACCCTTTCAATAAGGAAAGACCTAGATAAATTACTCTATGCCGAATTACCACCTATTGTCTCTAAAAAAGTCTAAGCTATTTTTAATGAATCTTTGTCAAAAGAAGAAATACCAGATACATTAGGAGGACGAATATTAGTTTTACAAGAATTGCATAAAAGAGTGTGTAATGAAGAAAAATTAAAGAAACAAGCTAAAATTAAACTCTGTTGTGAAGAAACAATGGATAGAGTTGGAAAATATGGGTGTAATAACAATCATAAGATTATTAAAACACGTAAAAAATATAGAGATTATAAAAAAATGGAGAAGAATACCTTATAAAGAAAATAGGAAAAATAGGTTTAGAAAACCAAAAAATATTTCAGAAATAGAAAACAATTTAAGAAAAAAAAAAACAACAAAAGTACTATCCTAAATGAAAGACAAATTGTAGATGTTGGTTATGTAATAAAGAAGGACATTACGCAAATAAATGTCTTAAGAAAAATACTAATACTAGGAAGCAAGAAGTCCTTAGATTGGCCTACGACTGTGGTTTTGAACCAATCGAAAAAACAGATTTTGAACTTTCTGATGTAGAAATTATTGAATATATTTCAGACCAAGAGATCTCTTCAAATGAGTCAGAAGAAGTTACTAACTAAGGGAAATTCTAATGCAACATTTATTAAAATTGAAACAGAAAAGAAATTTTTTTTAGCATACACTGATACAGGAGCAACCCTATGTTTTGCCAAAAAAATCAACCATAAAAAAATGGGATAAACTTGAAAAACCTCTAAAAATTGTAGTAGCGGATAAATCTATTCATGAAATTTGGTATGTAAACCAATATGTACCGATAATCATTGAAAAACATTTCCTTACAGCTAAAACAATCTATCAACATGACTCAGGACTAGATATAATAATAGGAAATAACTTTCTAAAATTATATCAACCGTTCATCCAAAGGGTTGAAACAATTAGCCTTAGATCTCCTAAAATAATAAACCAGGAATCTAAGATAATCACAACCAGAATAATAAAAAAAACGAGGTATTAAAAATTGTACTTCAAAACCTCAAAAATAGACTAGAATATGTACAAATTACACATGGCATTATAGAGGAAACTTTAGACCAGGTGTGTAGTGAACATCCTTTAGATAAAGATAAAAATAACAATTAGGAACTTATTGAAATTAAACTAAAAGATCCTAAAATGGAAGTTAATATCCCGAACAAAATTCAATATACTCAACGAGATGTGGAAGAATTTCAAAAGAAATGTTCAGAATTAGTTGATAAAAGTATAATACGAGAAAGCAAAAGGCATCATAGTGCACCTGCCTTTTGTGTAGAAAATAATAATGAAATCAAAAGAGGAAAAAGAAGAATGGTAATAAACTATAAAAAACTAAACGAACAAACAATAGGAGATAACTATAAATTACCTAGGAAAGACTATATACTAGAAAGATTAAAAGGTCAGACTTGGTTTAGTAGTTTATATGCTAAATCGGGATATTGGCAACTTCGTCTACATGAGAATACCAAACCTTTAACAGCCTTTTCATGTCCGCCACAAAAGCATTACGAATGGAATGTTTTCCCATTTGGAATGAAACAAGCACCAGCTATTTACCAACGGGTTATGGATCATGTCTTAGATGGTTTTCAATCGTTCTGTTTAGCATACATTGATGACATCATCATTTTCACTAACCAATTAGAGGAAGATCATCATGAAAAAGTCTTGATAGTTTTACAAAGAATAAAGGAAAAATGTCTAATTATTTCTAAGAAAAAATCGAAACTTCTTCAAAGGGAAATTGAATATCTTGGTATGAAGATTAATAATTTCGGCGAAATTGAGTTGTCACCAAACACAAAATAAAAGGTTGATAAATTCCCAAACCAACTTGAAAATAGAAAAAAATTCAACGTTTTCTTGGATGTTTAAATTATATTAGTGAACAAGGATTTTTAAAAGATTTAGCAAAAGAAAGAAAACATTTACAGAAAAAGATTTCCGACAAAATCCCTTAGTCATGGAATGATCAAGATACAAAAATAGTTTTATTGATGACGGAAAAATGTCATCATTTACCAAAATTATATAACCCTTGTGAAAACGATTTTCTAATAATTCAAACGGATGCCTCCAATGATACTTGGGCAGGGTGCATGTTAGCAATACAAAATGGCAAAGAATAATTACAAATGGACAATTTTGGTAATATCAAAATTGAAAATAATGAGGCTACTGTCTCTTGCCAAAAGCCTAAAGATTATCAGTCTACGGACAATATTATTGGATCTTCGGAATCTCAATTATCAGTTCCTTTCAATAGTGATAAATATTCTAAGAAATTATGTAAATGTATTTCTGAAACATTTACCGCCACTGAACAGAACTATCCAATCCATGAATTAGAGACACTAGCTTGTCTTCGAACATTGAAAAAATGGAAGCTTGAATTATTATCCACAAGGTTTGAACTTCAAACCGATTCTAAATATGTAACAGGTTTTTGGAGGTACAAGCTTCAAGTAGATTTCAACAAAGGGAGATTAATCAGGTGGCAACAACAAATCTATTATTACAATCCTTACCTGAAGTATATCAAGTCCAGCAACAATCCGTTCACCGACACACTAACTTGAGAATGGAAGGATTTATAAAAACTCTCATCAATCAGCTTAAGCAGAAGCAGGAAAAGAGTACCGCACTGGAACAACAGCTTCTCCTTTGCAGGGGGAGGAAGAAGCAATAATCCAATCAATCAATGTTATTCAGCAACAGTTAAAGATCAACTACATCGACGTTAGTACTCTATCAATTAGCATTCTAATGGACAGTCATCAACACCCACCATAGAACTTGCTGAAAAAGAAAAGTGAGCATCAACACATTCATCTACTACTACTAGCAATAATACACAAAAGACGACACGATGGGCCGACATTGTTGAACAAGAAGAAAAAGAAGGGAGAGATTCCCACTACGAAGAAGATGACAGAAAAGGCAGCAAGTGGTATGTCATATTCAATGGACCATATCGAGGAGTATATCATAACTGGCCATCACTAGCCAGCACATCAACGGCAAACCAGTCCAACATCAATCATTTAAAACAAAAGAAGCAGTCGAACAAGCATTTAGACAGTCATACAAGGTGATGGCAATGAAAGAACCAGTTAAGAATCAAGAGCAACAATCACGGAAACTTATCATGAAGATACCCAGTATCAAGAGCATCCCAACCACCAAAGAAAAAGAAGAACAATTAAAACCAATCTTTCAGAAGTTCGTATCCAACTGGGATATGATAATTAATTACCAAGAAAAACACAGGACCATGGGTTTTTACCCCGTCAGTCGAGGAGGACCAAAGCAGTAATCACAGAAGAAGCATCACCAGAACTCTCT